GTCTGGACATAGACTAATCCCCAGGACTAACTGTACGGCGCGGAGTCCTTGAAAAGCTAATAATCCTTCGGTTGGCCAATAAATTACCTGCCTTTTTCATGGAACTGAAAGGATATTTCTGTTATCAAAAGAACAAGCCACTTCTCCTATTGCGAGTTACAGAAAGCCAGTTTACATCCTCAGAGCCTATTTCTTTAAAATTCATTTAATTATTCCGTCTGACAATTTTTCTATTCTACTGAGATTTTTCGATCAAAAGTGTATGTAGATCTTATCTTTCCCATGCGTGCTACATATCCCGCCCATTTCAATCTCCTTGACTTAATAATCGTAATAATATTTCCTGAAAAATAGGGAAAACAAGATAAGCCTGTCATTGTGCAGTTTTCAACAGCCTCCCTCTTGGAGTCAAATTTTCTCAATACATGTTTTAAAAACCTGGCAATATTTTCTCCATAATATGACAGACCAAGTTTAACACCCATAGAAAAACAAAGTTAGCAAACCAAATCATCTTATTACATTTAACCATTGCCAAGATCACGTTTTTAAATATGCAGGTCCTTATCACTTACAGAAGTAGCAATATTTAACATAATCACATTTATAAGAAAGCATGTTATTAATTCGTACAAGATATTCAAACTACACACGCTATTAGGATATTCTATCATACATTAAACCACCATTACTTGATAGTTTCCACATTTACGTATCCTACGCGTTTCTGTAAATAAGGATCCTGTTTCAAAGACGCCCTCTGCGTGTTTTCATGAACTTCAACAAATATAAACATTTGAAAAACTTCGCATAAAACTTGTTAAACTGACACGGAAGCTGGTATATTTTAACTGCAGGTAGAAATAATTTCTCAGCCGTGTCTCAACAAAGAACCGAACTAAATAAACTCTGAACACGTGAAGAGTACAGATAATAGGCAAAAGAAGTTGGACGACCATTCCAAACAGCAGGAAGGAGATGAAGTTTACAAAATACTGAACAAAGCTTTCAAACTACTTACAGATTAATATACGCATTATGAACAGACTTTCATGTTCCTGGAAGCGTTCTCATACAAATAGGTCCTACACAGCTGACATTACAGTTTATACAGTAAAAGAAGTATGCTCGTTTACTTCAAAAATATAAAATAATTTCGTTTAGTAGTCCCCATTCTTGTATTTCTGTCTAATTGCCAAGCGAACATATGCGATATTTTATAGCGCTGATTGTCATCCGTTTAGTGTATCAATAAGTCGCTACGCGGCGCCACACCAGTAAATAACAACACACTGGTAAACGTGAATATATCTTTCCAGCTCAGTAAGGTATCAAATCAAGTAGAATATGAAGCTCGCTTGTTACCGATTGCGAAAAAACGTTGCAGACTGGGAAGTAAGCTGAGACGCTGACCTTAATAGTGAAAACTAACTTGCTATTTCCGATGGCGTAAGTTGGCCAAGCTAGACAGCGAGTACCGCTATCTGCCAGTGAGCGGAAAAAACACCCAGTCCAAAGTATGAATAGTTCATCTCCCTGACTCAGCAATATTCGTGGGTGGAACCGAAGATGGCGAAATCAGAGTATCGACAATTTACAAAAGTATTAAAACAATAATAAGTTATGCAAAGACAAATTAAGACAAGATTATCAACACACGAAGAATACAAATACTCACAATTCCACACACCAAAATTCGGAGTAAAGAAATTAAATTTGAACAAAGCGTACACAATAAATTGTTGAATGACAAAGATTTTTTTATAAATGAAACACTTTAAAACACGTTAAAGTTGAATATGAAAGCCGGGCTCTGGGATGTGATTTGAACGAGGGCCTTCTCGAACAACAGAACCCCCTGGCCGACCTGGTAGAAAACTCGCAGTTTTGGCTGTAGCAAAGTGGTAATTACCCGGTGCACGTGTTGCGACATGTGGATCCTCAACCCTTCGTCCTCTGCGTGTGTGCGTAGAGCGAGGAATAGATCAAGCTAGCAATTTGGGGAAAGAGCGTGCCGTAGAACCTGTCTCATAGAAGTTGTAATTATTTTACCGTCGATATTACAGCTCAACATTTTTACGTTCTCGCAGATCAAGGACCTTAATTCTTGTACAGACCTCAAAACTTGTTTTAAGTGTCCTGTTTCTCTTAATCAAAATAAACTGCAAATTTGATTACCAGAAAGCGAAATATTAAGTGTTGCAAATCGTCCCAATATCGATGCGGTTAGCAACGGTTATATGCTCTTTGTAATGTTACTAACTGGAACCTATTATAATATAACAGTCCCTATTTTTCGTATATGTCTGCAACGGTATAATGAGTTTTACGTAGTTTTATCACTAAAACCTGCTGACACAAAATCGAATCAAACATTTGTTGCAACATGCTCCGGCTTCCCCTTTATAATGTCTTTGAAAAAACTGACAACCTTTAGAATAAATTTTAACGGCACTGAAAACTCGGATTGTGATCACCTGGTTTGTGACACCGTCTAATCTTATAAGTAGTGCTGTAGACCGGATTAATCTGGCTCAGGGCAGAATCTATCGGAGGGTTTCCGTAAACATTAAAGAATGAGGTTTCTGGATTACAAGGCGATAAGTACGAACACGTCTTCCATCTAAGATTTTGGTCTCATACATATTATCCGACGTTTCGGAGATGCTTACAGCCTCCATCAGTAAGGCGGTAGTCCTCATCGTAATAAATCTTTGGATTCTATAAAAGACGGAATTTCTTGACTGAGTGGCTATTAGCTTCTCAAGATGCACTGTGTTCTGGAGTGAACTGTCATCCGAGCTCTCATCCTTCGCAATGAATTTATGAATTTATTGTTCCTTGTCCCTCGGCAACCAAATTGGATTTGTTAGTAATATATTTTGAAATAACTGATACAAGCTGCAGAACATTTGACACTGTGAATATGCGTTGCAGGAAATTTAAATCACAGATCTTGATTTTAATATTTTCTCAGACAGGGAACTCACCATACAGAGTTCAAAATTCACGCCAGACCCTTGGGATATCCTAGGAGAATCGCCTTCAAATAAGGAAACCTCACCAGGTTACAGAGTTCATCCACAGGAAATCTTCGGGTACAGGTGTCACTAAAACATGGAATTCACCAAGACAAACTATTCAGAATCTGACAAGGAACTTCGAAATTCCGGTCACAGGATACGGACAAGGAAGTAACATATCTTCACTTATTAATGCTAAAACTGTATGTCATTAAATTTGACTAGTTCCTTGTCCGTTAGTGGGGGTGAGTTTCGTATACTTTATTCTCTTGGTGAGTTCCTTGTCTGTAAGAAAACAGATCTCCTGCTCTGATGAGTGAATTCCATATCCTGGTGAGTGTTCTCTCTTCATTTGTAGGTTGAGTTCCTGGTGAGTTCCATGTGACACTTGCCTTAGTGAGTTCCCTGGCTGGACGAATCCAGATTGAAATTCTTCTATCGGTAAGTTATTGTACCAGTGAGCTCGATATAATGATGCATATTTTTTTGGAACGTATCGATATGTACATCGCCAAATCATCTTCTTATACCACAAGGTGTTAAAGACGAAGATCTTTTACGGTTTCTGGGTTATACTCATTTTAAATATTGCGATTATGAGTTTACACGAACATAAAATGCTAGAAAGTTAATACGTAACGCTTGAAGAACTAACATTGTTTTTAACCTCCTGTAGCCAAAGTTCTTTAAAACAACATTTAAAGATTGAGCCCATATCTGAAAGAAAACACGTCTCCATTAAAAGATCAATTGCTTAGCGCTGTTCAGGGAAATACGTTTTCTCTGAAAATATGACTTAACCCATGCAAAAACCTAACTCCGTGGACAAAATGCAGACTTATGGATTGTTAAAGCGGATGGTACGCAGGTCTGGAGAGCCACTAGTCTCGACCGTGCCATGATTGGGGCGAATAGTTGCAACTTTCTTGCCATGGGGACGCAAGTTACGCCCAGGTTAGTCCACGTGGAAATGGCGCTGGGACAGATTTCTCTCAGAGTCCTTCGGTCTTACCCTGTCAGTATCATTCCACCATATACACCTATCTATCATCCGGTGGATGGGCAAAGGTCCCGTAAGAGACCTCACTTCCAAAGGGACAAAGTCTCATCCCCATTGCAACGTTAATAATGCCACTGGGATACAAAGGGTTAAAACGGGTAAAATTCGCATCGAAATTATGCACACAGCAAGATAGCGAAATGTTCGCTTCTAAGTCGCAGGGTTTTTGTCATAACGTGCCCTGTAGGAAAGAACATTCAACTACAAAATTCAGAAAAAATTAAAGCTTTATATGGTTATATCCCCATTCGTTATAAAATTACTCCTTACACGTAATCACAACGAGAATTCCTTTCAGGAAATCAGAATACTCGTCCATCTGACATATCTTTCAGCGTCTGAAATGTTGGCCGGTTTGGTAATTATCGAAATATTCTCCTGTTCTACAATTCTTGTCCGAAACATTTTTCTCTCCGATAAATATTTAGCGAGTTACTGTCGATATACGTACAGAAACATGTTAATTCTGAAGTAAAGTGTTCATTTTAGACCAATTTATAGATTTTAATTAAAACTGGAATGTGTAAACAAATTTTGGTAAAATTTCAATAAAATCCGTTGAGCGTCACTGTCACATGGGATAGGTACATACGGCGAACTATTAATCGAATTTCTGCTAAGTTTGTTGCGAACGCAACAAAATCCACATTGAAACTTATTTTGTACTATGACATAAATTTCATTAATTAACAAGAGTCAAATCATTGAAACTTGCCGACTCGTTTGTACCAAAACTTTTTTCATAGTTCATTTCCTCCTGTGTTTGCTCTGTTTCGTAGTTCGGGCTGCCTCGCTGTAACTTGTCAACGGAATCAACCAAATGTTAATCGATATTAATAACGTGGTGTTCGATTTGTACGATAGGAGGGCATGTGCATGAATTAAATTAATAATGACCGCTAATATTTTTTTTCCAGGAGGCGGTCCACACTTCTGATTCCAAAGGTGAGACCTGAGGACGCAGGTCTGTATAGATGCGAAGCAAAGAGTGTCATTGGAGTCATCGCTAACATGACAGCGAGAGTCACAGTCATTTCAGACACAAGGCCAGAAAACAGTAAGTCCATTCAAAGTACTTATTACTAAATATACCCAGCCATATTGACCAGTGCCAGACGTTACATTATTTTGGGCACTATTCAGCGTGTGCCAAAATTACGTTAAACATTTTAACACTTTATGGGAGAACACATTTATTATCAACAGTTATAAATTCACAATTCATCAAAAACAAGTCTCATAATTCCCCTACTATTCTCTATATGCACTAAAACGTTTGTCCTAACAAGATGCAAAATTCTGAAGGTACAGGTCACGACATTAAAAATTCTTTCTTCTAGCGTTTATCTATCAGACATTACTGTAACGAGAAATACTAATCTGAAAAAATTACAATAGTACATAAACTACCCTATCAATGTTAACATAATTTTTGCACACTACTGTATATTGACGGATATGTTTCAATGAACCGAGTACCAATGATCTATCAAAGTAAGACAACAACTTTTATTTGCGTTTTTATAAATGTTAGCTGGGTTAACACTCTCTCTCCGGCCCTGCTTATTATGTGTCATGACGTCAGACAATGTCGTCAACTTCTAGAAATACGAGTAATACGTACAGCGTAATGTCTACTGGCGACTAAACTGGTGGCCTGCGGTTTTTAAAAAATCCTTCAAAACACGTTGCGATGTAATAGATTTTTCTATTGTCTCATGGGCGAACAACCAAAAACTAAGAACACCATATATCATATAAGTATCTATTTTTGTTTCTTTAGTTGAAAGTCGCAAACATTCGAATCTATAATCGAAAATCGAATTCGGTAATGCGATGCTTTCTACGTGCCTGCATAAATCTTGAAGGAACTAGCATATTTTCATAACAACTCCGTAAAACAGAATCCTCCTTTAGAAACAAATGGTACAGCAAATCATTCACCGCCTTTTTATAACCTTAAGGTTCCGAAAAAAAAAGCCACTGAACCTTTTCATAAGCCAGACAAATTAACCCTATTTCATTAATATATAGCCTAATATTATGCTACCACACACGTATAGATCTAATATTATATACACCAGCCCATCACTAACTACATCCTTGTAGCTACTGACCTCATCCCATTTTATACGAACGGATTAGACAGAGTGTAAATTTAAATCTACAGGTCTGAATACAGATTAGACCTATACATTACTGTTCTGCTAATTCCATTAACATATGACTGAAAATGGCTGTCTTCTGTGTAGTATGGTAGAAATTTACCGACATTTCAGAGGTCCATGCTGTATCCATCATCAGAGCAATGAGTAAGCCGTGAGAGTAGAAACCACTGGATTTATAGAAAATGACCGCTAAGGAAGAGCCTAACAGTAACCAGTCAGCTGATGTCAAAGAGTCAGGCGGGTCGGGTTCCTTAAGCCATCTAGTTAGTTAGACTTCTGTTCATGCTTTTGTGTCCCGTCTTAATATAATATGTATCCATCCGCGTGAGTTCGTGAGGTACCGGCCCAAAAATTGGGTCACTTAAGAATTTGGCTTTTATTAAATTTTGTGCGCTGCAGCTATAATTCTTATATTTGCACACAACTGCCTTAGACGGGTGATAGTAGAGGAACATATAGAACTGTGAAAATATTATAGAACCAAAACTGAAAATATTACACCACCTTTGAGGCCCAAGTGCCCAAAGGTGGCCCACCCATACAACTAATAAATAATTTCAAAATAGCTTATAAAACGTGAATAACATTTATTTGTAGGTACAAGATTAAAATGTGTGGCGCCCTAAAATAATGACACTGCACAGCTATTTACTAAATTTATTTAAATAGCTGCTTTTAATTAGATCCCAACAGTTCATAAAAGAAAAGACGACCACAAACGGAAAAACACTTCTAAAATGCCAGTGGTTCCCAAACAGGCGACGTTTTTTTAATGTCGCTGTGACAGGGGTTTCTTTACCATTTAAAGACCAATGGTAACTATACGTAATGTTATAGTTTTCTTTCCTATGATTCACAGAATAAACAATGCTTATTTGAATAAGCAGTATTACCAATCAAATCGGTGTAATGGGGAGATGTGGTTTCTTTGTTGTACGAACTGGATTTTTAAACAATATTTAGGTTTATTCGTCATATTAATAACGATGTAAGTTCTCCTACATAGTGCAACTTAAATCTAAACGTTCCATGTTTTAAGATTACTAAGAAACAAATACATTAACCAACATCTTGAAAAATTGACAATCGCTGAGTCAGTCGAGAAACTTCCCTCCTTTATTGATCCCCAATATTTATCATCGTGTTCAAAAGAGCTCGCCACCAGTTCACAAAGCCACTTGAGTTCCCTTAAAGTCTCTTCTATCCTTTTCAAATTTCCCGACAAACATTTTGAATGCATTTATATCTTCCATGTGTGCTACATACCCCGTAAATCTCATTCCTTCTTGTTTTGCCATCCTACATGCATCTGATGAAGACGAATTATAAATGTCGTTATGGAATTTTATTCAACTTCCTGTTTCGTAGGCCCAAATACACTTGATATCAAACATCCATAGTTTATTTCTTCCCTTAAGATGGCAATCCAATTTCCACGAACATTAAAACAAAGAAAATTATAGTTCAAAACATTTAACTCATTAGGGTTTACGTAAGAAGATACGTGGGTAATTTCTTGCCCAGCTAAGCCACTGTTAGTTCCTCAAGTTTGGCTGCTACATGGAGATGGTTAGGGTTTTATATAAGATGCATTACGATAAAATATTCTTAACCTAATGAGAGCAAATATTCCTTCCTTTCTCATAATTCCTTCAGCAATCCAGACAAAAACACATCGGACTATGAGATGCCTAATAACCACCTATCGACAAATTCTCGAAACAGAATATCGATGATCACAGTATTTTCTGTTCTACTTTGCAATGGAAACACAGACGGTGTTATTGTGAGCTAGTGAACAGAGACATCGCAGGGCCGAAGCGTGCGTGCATCTGATGTAGAAGCTTAACTAAACATTATCATGGCAACCAAGGGGCTAGCAAAATAAACCAGATTCTCTGTCCGTTCCGACTTGCCTGCGCTCTAGCGTTCAACACTAGTAATCTCCATCACAGGGCGGTCGAAAAGTAGGTTACTGCTGATGTGCTCTGAGTTTTCCGAATTCACTTCACGGCTAGTACACTTGATTCAAAATGAATAAACTTCGTGAAATAGTTGTATATATAAGACAGACGCGAGAATAATATTTAAGGAAGAGTTTCTGTTAAAAACTTTCGTGTAGTAGTTACAAAAGTTTCATTAACCAATTACATTTACAACTATTATAGACTATTTATTTGCTCTGCCATGCCAAATGCATTTCAACTCAGTGGCTATTATATACATTACTTATTTAGTTTGATTTCTGTTGTGATAGTTACTAAAAATCGTACAAATCCATTCGTTTCTGTATGCTTTTAACGGTTACAAATATGTTACTGTAAACCGATAATTCCGTTTCATTTTATTCTTGCATACAAAGTCGAACAAGGAAAGAATGTTTTTGCAAACTTTAATCTGGCCACGTGTTTTACAAACATAACTACAGCCATCTGGGTAATAATTCCGTCCAATCTTATGGGTACTTAACAACATAAACGGCATCTTCAGGGTAGAATATCAAGGCAATATTTTACTCCGATACCCTTGTAACCACCTGGCATCACAACCTAGAAGGCAACCGCCATGAGAACGTAAAATTTCATTAATTCTTCGGTTGTCAGTGACGTAAATATTAATGTCACCACGAACATGTCACGAAACTATAAACAATCTAAACAGGGAATATTTAACGCAACTCCGTGGTAGCAGAACCCGCAGGTCCAAAACCGACAAAGCCAAAGCCCGCCACGGGACACGATCCTGAGCCAACTCCATCCATTTACCATCCTCACAGTCCCCTCCCTAAGATCCATCTTCACATTATCCTCCCATCTCCTTCTTGGTCTGACCACTGTTCGTTTTCCAGAAGGAGTCCCCATCAGAATTCTGTATGCACCCCTTACCTGCCCCATGCGTGTTATATGTCCAGCCCATCGCAGCCTCCTACATTTCGCTATCCTCACTGTGCTAGTTGACCCGTACAATTCAAACAGCTCCTCGTTATGTAATATTCTAAATTCCCCACTAATTTCATCCTTCATAAATCCAAATATCTTCCTAAGCACCATGTTTTCAAACACTCGTTATCTACGTTCTTCGTTCAAGGTAAGAGACCATGTTTCACAACCATACAAGACAACAGGGGGCCCGCCCGCAGTGGCCGCGCGGTCTGAGGCGCGGGCCTTCTGCCGCGTGGTCGCTGGGATCGTGGGTTCGAATCCCACTCAAGCCATGGATGTTTGTCCGCGTTTTTCTGTGTTGTGCTGTCCTGTGTACAGGTAGAGGCCTTGCGAAGGGCCGATCCCTCGTCCAAGGAGTCCTACCGAATGTCTATAGATCAGAGACAACGAAACGTTGGGACCCTCAGTGCTGAGGCACTTGAAGAACGGGTCGTTCCCAGTATCCCAGTACAAGACAACAGGCAAAATTAATTTTATATATCCCGATCTTTGGTATTCCAAACTCAATCAAAATGTCATACAGTACCTCTCTTCTAACTGAGCCACATGCCTTCCCAAAGTCCACAAATAGTTAGTGCATTGATCCATTATACTCCCACTTTTTCTCTAATATTTGTCGAAAGGAAGGGATATCATTTTATAAAAACCAACCATTTTCTGAAACTAGACTATTTATTCTACATATGGGGTATACATGAGCCCAATCACGGTTGGGACAACAAAAGAAGGCTGTGACGTAATACGTGACTTTACTTTTATGTATATTCTGTGGCTACGTTTGTAAAGGTCGACCGGAAACGTTCTGTCCTTCACACTTCCTGCGTCAGGGAAACGGTTCACCAAACGAGATATATCGATTTATTTGGCCCACGATAATCGGCAAACGTATCCCTCAACTTATTCTGACAAGAACAAAACAGCGTTCTACAATGAATATTCGTTAAACATGTGATAAAGAAATCCTTGCACTTCGATTGTGTAAAGACAACTGAATGACTGGCGCGCGCAGATTACAACATGGCGTTGACCCGTGTGGGCCCTAGTATAACCACAGCGATATTGCGTTCTCATTATTAATCCATTAAAACTGTGTTAAATTACAACTATTAATAAATACTTTGATATGGGTTGCGTGATTTTTCTATTACCCTATAACTGGTAAATTTCCCGTCAAAAATGACGGTAAAATCTAAATTAATACGTAAAACTCATTTTTATTGAAAAAGCTAACAATGCAGCACACACAAATTCGAACCATTACTTTTATACATTTAATGAAAGATTATAACACGATATAATGCACCAAAATATTGGCTTTGCTGCTTTATATAGAAGTACAGAACACGTTAGGCCACTGCTTCCCAAACTTTTCCCTTCATTACCCAAAACCGCTTATCAGAAAGTCCTTTTTACCCAATGTCGGTAAAACACAAACTGCACAGAAAACATATTTTAAACATCTCTAAACATTTTAGCAGCCACAAAAAATTTGGTAATTATTCACCATGAATATTTCATCACGCAGGTCCCAGCTAATGAGTACAAAGCCACTGCTCCATCTTATTTACTAGTTCCGCAAAATTGGCAGCAATTGGAGACAGAGTACACCTCACATCGTATTCGGGGTTCAGCAAACAGTTTCGTTTTGCGGTCTTTATGAAGGCAAGAGTGGAAAATCCTACTTCGCACATGCAGGTGCTCGGAAACTGCAATAATTGCATCACGGCCTCCCCAGCTACCACAGGACATTCATCGTGAATTGTTAACCAGAAAGACTCCAAATGGCCCTTTTTTCCCTTCAAATAACATTTTGCAATGACTGCTAAGCTCCATCATTTATTCTGCAAAACCATTAACACCATCGGGGATTTCAGTCAAGTCACACAGAAACGGGTGTGTCGTTATTATTATTCAGTGTTCTGTCTGACGACAGGTCCATTGCTCTGCCCAAAAAGAGCTCTCCAGTTTTCCCTATTCTCAGCTTCTCGTTTTAACTCCTGAAACTTCATCTTCTTTCCTCCCAAAGAAAAACCACTTTTACCCATTTTTGGGTAATTTACCCAGGTTTGGGAAGCACTGCGTTAGGCCATGGATGGGTGAACAATTTTTTGTTTCGGCCGATTGTCTCGAAAAACCATAACAAATATTAATACCATTAAAGTAAAGTTTGTCCCGCTACGTGCCATCACGCCCCGGCCGGCTCTACCCCCGGGAAAGGACCCCGGTACCCATTGTAGAGGAGGCTGGGTGGGCCCCAGAGCCGGTCTGGACGCAGAGGCTGGAGGAAAAATCCTCTGCCCCCGTCGGGGATCGAACCCCGGCCGTCCAGCCCGTAGCTAGTCACTATATGACTGAGCTATCCCGGTCCATATTAATACCATTACTTATCTTTAATATTAAATATAGTGCAAATAATGATGTCGGCATGGTAACGTCATAAGGGACAAATAGTAATTAATTACTGCATTTATATGGGTACGTGTGCATTAGGACTACAAAATAATAAAAAAACAGTTACTTATTATATAATATTTTATATTATCTAATGGTAATTCTCTTAAGGAACTTTCGGCCTTAGGCTACTATTTCTGAATACAAATAATTTGCAAAATTGCCTCCTTCTTCCGACTAACAATAACCACGATCTATAGTTCCTTTTAGTGTGTGTACGCGACATTTTTTATTGTCACAAGTTTCTTTCGATGTAAAGAGAGTCAAGCGGTTCCCAGTTTAATACTTTTTAAAATATAAAATGAGTTTTCCGTGCGTCCACTGCCTTGAGTTTTCATGACATAGAGTGCCAGGACTCCTACAAACCATAAAAGCCAAAATATTAATCCTTAGTCAGGGTAGAATTCCTTGAACGAGGAATGACATTAATTTGTACTACGTATTAAAATATAATTAAAGTGATCAAATCAAGGAAACCGGGATGGGAAAGACATGTAGATTACAAGATGATATGTCAAATTCATACCAAATTTTAGTCGGAAAACGTGAAGAGAAGAAAAACATCACCAACGAAGGTATAGATAAAAGGATAATATTAAAATTAATCTAAAAGAAACAGTATGATATTGTGGACTGCCGCCAACTGGCTCCTGAAAGACCAGTGGTTGACTATTGTGATCACGGTAAAGAAATCTTCGTGTTCCATAAAATGCGAGGAAATTATTGCCGGAAATAATTTCCTCAAGAACTGTGTTCAGTGGAGTTACTTATGGACATTGAATGTTGATTAGATTCTGATTATTGTGGATAAAACATCGTATGGTTGTGTTTGTCGTATTATTGTCTTATTATATTAGAAAGCCAGGTTTTAAAAATTATTACTACTCCCAAACCTGTTTCAAATGGAATATGCATTAAAAATAAAACTCTCTTTGCCAAAAAAAAAAATCCTTCTGGTCTCTGTAATGAAAGATGGACGTTCGTGTGAAGACCCCTCTAATAAAATGATACGGTTTAACGCATGAATGGAACGGAAAAAGACAAACATTTAACGTAAAATCGTCATATGGGATAACAATGTTTTACGTTCATATAAATTTGATCCTTAGACGATTCCTGAAAACCTGTTACAGAAAAAATATTCTTGAACAACTCTGAAAGAATTGAGTCCGGCAGTCGACAAAAATATACGAATGCTTTAATAACGCGCTATTTACTGATCTGCAACAAAATAGGCAATAATATATTTGTGACTTGTCATTTTAATCTTAAATACCTACTTAAACAAATGTCATTTGTAGTATGAAATACTCATTATGCATAAACATAAATCAGTCATAAATTTAAAATTTATCAGGTTATTCCGTTATAAGTTGGTTATAATAAAGAATTGAATTGAAAGAATTGAATAATGCACAAGTTAATTTACATAAAAATTAATGGTCTTTGCTCCAAAATCGAAGCGCTTACGGTATTATTCATTACAACAGTGGCAACTTCGAGAGTATCGATACCGTAAGTGTTCAGCAAGAAAGCACGCGTCACCCTGAGGTATCCGGACATGTGTGTGGCGTACAGACGAACGAATGAGACTGTGCGGTGTCCAAAATAAACCAAGCAAGAAAACAGGCAGGCAGTCTGACATCGGTGCCAACTTAGTTAGGCCAGTTTTTATATTCGATATAGACAGACAGACAGTCAACGCAGAAAGTTAATGAACACGTACAGGAGCCTATGTTAATACAAGAAAATGGGATAAGAGTATGCCATCCCCCACCAGTTACACGTCACTGATGTAGAAACCTGTAATACGGCCATTTTTGTTCATATACTTATTTTACGATGCTGTATCCAACTGATGATATCAAGTAAAGTCGAATGAGATGTAGTAGGATGGAAAGAAATGGTGAATTTCGATTATAAAAAGGCTGTTTTAATGTATTTTAAATCAAATCATTATCTAGATGTTTTCCTAGTTGGACTGAGGAAAATCACGAAAATCTCAATCAGAGTATCCGGTTTCTGGTTGGTATTCAAACCCGGTACATCTACTATATAATTAAATTTCTTAGTTCTGAGATTTATGGGGAGATGAAAATATGAGAGGATGATTTATGGAACAATTCCTTGGTTATTTAAACACGCTATCTCAATGTTATACGTTATGTAACTTCGAGTAGTGGCCTGCAGTACGCTACTGCACCACAATGTCTGGAGGGACTGAGAAAAACTACGATAGATACAATACGTATGCATACCAGTGACAAGGCTCTCCACGGACCTTTGAATGTAATTAAAAGTTAGTTCGCTGGCCATCCAGTAAAGTATGATATAAGCAGTTTCTGCAGAGAAGCCCAATGTTTGCAAGTCGCAGAGCGTAGCTTAATCGACGAACATCATCATCACAATCCTTCCATTCTTCAATAGAAGAAAGCGTAGGTATTAGGATAATATTAAAATGTATCTTTGGGATAAATGTTGAGAACACGTTGACTGAATTTATCTAGCTTAGAGAAGAGACCAGTGGAGGGCTGTTGTGAAGACGGCAATAAATCTTCTGGTTTCATTAAAACGCAGTAAAATTTACTAAAAGATAGTAATCTGTCATGAACAACAACACGTGAAGTTCCTGGTATGTGTGTCTTAATATCTGGTGTTATCGACAGTCCCCACACTCTCATTTGTTGTTTAGATATTAAGAATTTTCTTTCACTCGCCCACTGTAGTCAGACGGGCGAGAGGAAGTTCCAGAAACACTGATATAATAAATCGTTTGTCTTTGCAGCGACAACGTTATGGCCACTGTACGGAATGCCGTGTCCAGTAGAGACATTTTGCCTGAACGGGGGCACGTGCTTCTATTACGAGACCGTGGGAGAGCTAGTCTGTCAGTAAGTATCCAAACCGAGGTTCAAACAGGGACCTCATACCTAATATAGCAGACAGCAAGTTGATACAGAGCAGATCTGAGCATCCTACATCATGTAGGATTTGAGGTTTTCACGACGGTAAATCTGAAGATTATTGTCTTCTGGGTTGTTGAGCTCTGATGATGAAGGCAGCAAGGACCTCTGAAACGTCGGTAAACATCTACCAGACTACACGGCGCAACAACCCAGAAGACAGCAAACTTCATCTTACATAAAACTGGGGATGGCAATATAAGTAATGAGAATAGGTACATCCGGAACTAATTCTAAAACTGTCCTGAGGGCGGTTCTTATATTCGGAAGTTTCTGGAGGTGAGTGGTCAGCATCACGCTTCAGTGAAAAACACACGGCGGAAATTTCCAGAGTTCTGAACGCAGATCTAAAAAGGAAGTCCCTGCAGCCCAGTTGGGAACCAAACACTACCAGTCCAGACCATATATCTGACGCTTATGAGACGTCATCATGTATAATACATATAAACTCAATGGATGTACTTCAGTACATAGTTTTTACAAGCTTATACGAAGTTTAACACTATTTCAGAGCAGTTAAGTTTAATAAATTCCAGTAAAACAATCCTTTACCGATAACAACCTGCTATATATCGATATGTAAAAATCAAATTGCATCCGTATGGAATATAGAAGTAAATGTGATGTCCACTTCAACCGGATGTTATAGCATGTTTAGAGAGAGAATGTTTTTGAACTGAATTGTAGATCTGGTTATTAAGATTTTTGGGTCTGGTATAAAGGCATGGTTATGACGCCAAACATAGTCTGCTACACCCATACCGCAAATATATTACAGTTTCTCCATACATTTGTTTACAATTCATACAGATTTGTCAGAATTCGTTTGAATAAACTTCAGAAAACCTTCAGTTCTAAATATGTCCTGACCCACAGCAACTAGACGTAATGTCTGACTTCGTAAGCGATTTTCAACCTCTGCGAAAGAGTTAGCAGCATATGCCATGCTGTAAATATGAAGTTAAAATAGCAGTGTAAGTTTATTAAAGAAAGTCAAGCAAATTATATTCACAATTCATTATGATGTTCATAGCAACGTTTATTTTCAATCTTAGATTATAAAAACAAAGACGTTCATTTGAATAAATTCGTGCTGCTTTTGAACCGGGAAACCTACACGATTCGCATTTACATACTCATGTCTTCGTCAGTGTGGAATATCCGTTGTGGACAAAAGGATTTCGATACAATACAATATTGACAGATATTATTACAAATTTAATTTCTAATGAACAGAGATAAGTTATTCTATGGCATATGTTACTTATATATCATTTGAGACACATCTTTCTGGGTTGTGTAATTAACAAAGCTTGAGTAGGGCTTAAATAATCATGTAAAATTAAATGCCAATTAGCTAATAACTTCTAATTTATAAATTGTTTGAAATTAAACCCTGCTTAAATTTTCCTTATTTATGTAAATACCTCCGAAAGGCGTCTGAAATTTCAGCCCACATTTATTATGCCATAAAAATGATTTTCCACAAGTACAAACTGAAAAATTTCTTGGCATAACAGTCGCAATATGAACTGCATTAACTCAGGACAGAAACAGATGTGAGCTATTGTTTCAATGAGGTTGACTCTTTCTAGCGTCCAGATCATACAAGGCCTTAATTAGCATCCCATATCTTATGTGATGTTTACTGTTCATCTGGACGAGAGCTGTCCAAAATGATGGTGTCAATCGATAGAATATTTTCAGTTTATTCGGTGATTTTACCCTCTTGTATCAACACCTGAATTTATTTAGAATCGAATTCAAAGAGACAAGATTAAAACGAATGGGTAATGATAAATCTCAGAGAATACGTAAGGTATATTTAAGCGTCCGATACTCGCCAGCCAGTAATTAAGAACGCAAAGAAGCTTACGGGTAACTCTTGTTATACGCGGTTTCGTTGTACGTTGTCGTTTCGCGTAGCACGCAAGAAAGTTCATTCAGAAAAAACTGAATAGAATATATAATTTTACATTCTGCAAACAACCAAGTTTCAAGAAGACAGGCATCTTCATACCGCCGTGAGAACCCTAAAATCTCAACAAAACTTTCAAACGTGACTACATAAAAACTACGGTATAGTCTGCCTAAGGCTTTGGAAACACATAACTTGATACTGCGCAAATAAAGCGAGCTGTCACTGATACTGCAAAGGAAAAATACGTTCGAAACACGTGTCTGAATCACTGCAATGAACTATGGGAAATTCAACAGATTCGAAAATCCGGTCACTGGACGACATTGATTTCAATTCCAAGAATAAAAACAGAACCACACACGTCGTGACGCGTTGTCAGAAAAGCTAAACAAACTTCGTTTCAAATCTTAAACAAATTCAACTCCTTGAGCAAAATATAGCCTCCAATCCCAACAGGATCTCCGATTCTTGCTTTTTTCCCCCCACAAAATCGATAGGGAATCTGCTTTAAATTTCATTTGTGGATACAGAAAAGTCGTCAAATATTCAAAACTTTTAACAACAAATTATAAAATATATTTGCTTACTTAGAAATTAAAAAATATTTCCTTATTCAATTTTACGTTGAAGCAAACCGTTTTCTGGACATTATCCATCGTCCAAGATTAAATAAAATCAATATAACCACGACGTTTCGGAGATGATATTCCGGATATAGGTATTCGCTCAATCGATTGTGCCCAACAGAGTAGGTTTTACCGAAACGTCGTGTTTTTATTGATTTCATTTAATCTTGGATGATGTAATGTCCAGAAAACAGTTTGCTTCACAAACTTTCACAACTAAGCTCAATTTTACGTGTTTTATACTCAGAATGTCTCAAAGTACATGAAAAATTTTAATCCATAACGTAGAGAAAATATCACTTTGGACTATTGATGAGCTCCTGTGAACACGTTAATAAACCTTTAGGTTCAAACAAGGGGCGGTAATTTTTTGACAAGTTGATAGACTGTTACCTTGTCAAAAAAATACTCTGACCAAATATCATGATCTAAGTACAAGGATTATGTATTTTACATTATGACAAGTGCAGTTTATTTTATGTATCAACATGCTTCTGTATTTGTGTTCACGTTTTATCGAATGGTAGGATGACTAATGAAAGAAAAGGATCGTTGCCTAACATTCTCCTGGAAGGACTGAGAACAACCATGACACCAGTCAGAAAAGTGAGGTTTCGAACAGAGATTTGAACCCGGCTCCTGCAGATTAAGAAACAGGAGAGCTAAGTTTTAGGTAGCCTTCGGGTCAAATTTCAGGGTAATTAATGTGGGATTCGTAGTTAATAAACTGATACTGTGTCATAAATCCACGCAACATATACGTCCATAATCGTTGATAACTAATCATGACCAGAAAGAACGTCTACACCACGTGGCACAATACTATAACCATTAGCCCATAGTCTGAACTTTAAATCCTACCCGGCCAGAACAAGGAAGTTATTACCTTTTTGTATATATACAGGTCTGTTGCAACCTGTACTATAATTAGGGTACTGGAACACCCATGCTTATGACCGTGCACACAGAGCAATGCGCATGCGCAAATGTTTGGATTCAGACGCCGGTGTCCATGAGAGAGAAATTCTCTCCAATTATCTTCGGATTTAATTTAATCACAGGAATGTGGTAAACTCTGTGTGGTCGTACGATTTACTAGATATTGATGGATTGATGCATAAATCTTTCAACACAAATAATATGTTAAATACAGCTATCCCAAACAAGTTCCGTTTTATTAAAATATATTTCTGTTTATGTCTATGTGTCATGGTTGTAATTCTGTTATTTAACAGATGTACTTCTCGGAACAGTTTTGGTTTTCATAAAAAAATATTTAAAATCAAATAAAAAGAAATGAATATATGACATGAAATCGCACATAGAACCTGACGCTTTGTCTAAAAGCGACATAAGGGTCAATATATCACCCTTGGAGTCAAACGTACATAGTCAGTTATCACAGTTTTTCTATCAGAATAAAGTGAATTGACGATTATCGGTCGTGAAAGGGACCATGTGTGCTGGCGATCAATCGAAACGTCGAACGCACAAAAGGAACATTTCACCACATGAAGGAACAGAACAAAATATTTAAATAATATTCAGAACGAAAAATCATACTATGATATTTAAACACAACCGTAACAATTAAAAGTAACGTTAAACTAAAATAAAATTGTTAAAGCAACCTTCAGTAGTGACCGGTAACTAAAATTTCTTTAATAATCGTCTCCTAAGCCCTTTATCGAAACGTCAATTGGCACCCGGTAAGGACCTACATATTCCTATGTTACATAGCGAGAAATGGCTTCCTATGTCTCCATGTCTGCTGCGTGGGTGACAGACTTGTAACCTTTCGCCCGCTGTAGGCTTACAGTGTTTGTATTTTCGTCGTGTCTTGGAAAATCACTCCTTTCTCCATTCAACATATGGACATTTGGAATGTCTTATTCAGACTGAATCCATTACATCGCTTTACGTAAATATTTCATGCTTATAGTATTCGTCACCAAATGTCACATTTCAGGGTCACTGCAAAATCATACAACGATGAATCAAGAACAGCAGAGACCATGCGAGTGACAATAGTCAAGAACTCGCAGCGTAGCAAAGCTAGTAACGCCATACTGTTGACTTATATCAGCACAGCAGGAAGGGGGGGGGGGCTCCAGGTCCTTCCGAGACCTTAAAGCATTAACTTTTGTGGCAGTTATTATAGTAAATATCGTTTAAACAAGGATAGGTATTATCAAATTCGCGGGCCACGTGATGTTCTCGAGTGTTCCAAATTAGCTTTAGTGGTCGATAACATGACAAAATATTCTATCGAACAAATTAAATGACAGTGGTCTCTGAGTTAATGATAATAATTGGTTTCAAGAAAATCGTCGTTAAGTGAATTATCGTTAATCGAATATTGCTGTTTCCACAAACAACGCATATCAGGAACTGAAATGCATGCGAGATGAGTTGCAAACGCTCATAAAAGGGGTCTCTGATTGACTGAGGATTGCTGAGTCCACCTAGGGGCGCTACGATTGGCCGAAATTGTGGGCCGTATATTACAAATATAACATAAATCGAAAATTTATCGCGGATCGTATATCGAAATATCGTTAATCGATTACATCGTAAAATGAAGGAGGGATGGTATTTTGATGGATTTTTTTAAATATAACATCGAAACTTTTGGCCTCTTTATAGCAAAAAAACTTTTATACAAAATTTGTAAACGTGTCTTCCAACACCAAACAGCATGTATATAATTATAATGGTTCGCAGATCGGCAACAAATACGAAATATTTCCATCCAAAATGACCAAAAGTTGCAAAAATCCCAAAGCCATAGGTCTACTGTCAGGGTTCCACCACAATTCTTTGCAAATGGCACAAATTTTAAATTGTCAAAGGACATACACGGCATCGTATAATTGTCGCATTTACCGACGTCGTTGAAATTAATTAGGATATCTACAGCAAATACTGTACCAATAAGAAACCAGAATAGGTGTTATGTATTCCTTCCTATATACAACGCCCTTTGTGAATCACTTGAAAAACGTAGGTACAGGCACAATGATGATGATGATAAAATGATGATACAAATTCACATGCTGATAGAACCCACAACGTCTTCACAGTCATGAAAACCCCAAATCTTAAGTAATAAACTGAATCTTAAAAGAAATAGAATATGAGGTTATGGATTGGATTCATGTAGCTCAGGTCAGAATTGTGTGCCGAGGTCTTGTAAATACCGTTATTATCTATGGGTTCCATAAAAGGCGGGAAACTTGACAGCGAAGCTGCAAGCTGCTAGCTTTCCAAGAAGAATTCTGCTCCATGAAATTAATTAATTACAACCTTCGTAAAGTAACAGTTATCACAGTGAGGTAGAAGCATTAGGGCTTCGTTAGTTTTTAACAACGTTGCAAATACTGCAGATATAACGTAGCTTAGCGATGTTAAAATAAATCTATAGGGAAAAATGCACAGAAGGTAATGACAAAGAATTTTTTGAAACCTACGCATTCATCGGGCACACTGAAGAAAACCACGAAAACTCAGGATATCTCAATGCATTCGAACGATATAGTTTCAACAGCCAATTACTTGGCACATCTTAGTATAATTTTTATAGATTAATATATCTCTGTTCTGTAAAATGAAATATTTCAAAACTAAAAGTTTTCAAGGCTGTTAAATGCCATTAAATCTCGACAGATGACCCGCGTCATTGTAGAACGCGTTTCCAACGTTTCAAAGACTTTCTCTACATCCATCATTAGGGACTGATTTTCGAACACCTGATCACCCATTACACCAGTCCCTGATGATGGAAGTATAGAAAGTCTTTGAAACGTTGGAAATTCATTCAATACTGACACGGCTGTGTGTCAGAGGACACTTTACTACGTTTCCCTCTTATGTAAAAAAAAACAGGGTGACATACAAAAGTAACCTCAAATTGAAAGCAGACCACAAATGATAACGTCATTATGAAAATTCTATTATGTATCCTGAATTTACAATTGTACACATAGGTCTCGCACATAAAATAATTACCTATCAGGAATAAACATATTCGGAGGACATACGTAAAACGGAATCGGTTTACTCACGTTTCAGAGGTGATTGCTGTTACCATCATCAGAGCGAGAACTGCAACCCATCGTCCTGATGATGGTAACAGGAAGCACCTCTAAAACGTTGCTAAACTGTAAGACTACACGGCGCAACAATCCAGAAGACAGAAATCTTCATTAAACTTTCTGTAATTTCGAAACTCCCATTTCACTGGTAGTTAGAAAACATAAACTATGTCGAGATGGAGATTTTTAGTTTCTAAAAGCTAGTATGAAGACGACTTCCGTAGAAAACTGCCATCGTATCAGGGGTTCTGATTGTCTCTATCATTAGGGCTCGTCGCCTATGAAACGTCGGTAAATTTCTACCAAACTACACGGCGTTAAAATCTCAGAAATCATTTACTTTCAAACCGTGTTTCTTATCAGGTGGACTAGAAGGCTGCTATTGGTGGGAAGTGTGATACGTCACAGTTTTACTCTACTGCACACAGTCTGAAATCATCAAGCAGTTAAGAGTAGCGTGTAGTGAGTCCAACTCTAATGTGTTGTGTGGGTGCTGCGATAATATTCTAGATTAAATCCCAGTGCCACTGTGAGGTAATCTTAAAGCTGTACCCATCAGAACACATGAAAGCCTGTCGTCTGTTGTTCGTGGAACCGCGAAATCTTGCGCATGCTCGTATATCGAATTCCTAGCAGGGCTTTTCTCCTGGTCTGTGGATTGTATTTCTTTCTGTGATTTCTTTTTCTTTTTCAGATGCGCGGACGGTTACAAGGGCCAGCGCTGTGAGAATAAAGACGTCTCCAACCGTGGGAGTATGTATAGGCCTAAGTTTTGTAACGTAGTAGGCTTTTTATCCTCGTTTTATTGCTAAAGTATACAAATCTGATGAAATCTGAACAAAAACCAAAGATTATTTAAAAATACTCGCGACACAGATGTCTTGTCGCCATTTTGTTTTCCTGAAGTTACTCTCATAACTCACTGTTGCTACTGATTGTTTTTATATTAAAACAATTATCCAGTTGAGCCTTTAGCTTTTATATAAATAATTTATTTATTGTTAATTATTAATGACGAAAACTTATACTTCCATCCAACTCACAACAAATTAGGATGATGCAAAAAAATATATAGTGGATGATGATCCTTGTTCGAGCGCGATCAGGTTAAAAAAACACGAAAAGAACTGTTTGTAAAACGAACGTGGATATTGAGTAATAAATGAAGGATGCCATGAATATCTACTGAGATCGAAACAAAAATAAATGAAATAATGGACTATGTTCGAAAGTAAAGGCAGTGCAATGACGATTGATGGAGTTCTACGGGAAGACCAAGATAAGATGACAACACCGGTCAGCTTAGAACATGTCCTCGCTCCAGGGTTTATCGATAGGTACGTAAAATGAAAGATTATTTCTGAAGAATAAAACAGAATCCACATAACAGGAAGAAACGTGTAGTTACAATTTACCAAATGCATTTATTTTTACAGTAAACTATATTTGTTTTGATGACTTACAAATTTCTCTTTTCTTAGATATCTTTCCAAATATTTTCCTACTATTATCTATTTGTGACTGACCAAAATTGTTTATAATATATTGATTAAAGTGAGAACTACAGTAGCAAGTTGTTATGTGGCTATATAAAAACTATATTTTCCTCTAACATCAATAATAATCTATTTTTTCCAGTAAATTAAACTGTAGCATACTAAATGTACATCTTAGTTTTGTGTTCCTCGTAGAAATATGTGTAAAAAAAACAACCCTAGCCTGTGTATGTGAAAAGTGTAAATATAATAATATATATTAATATAATTACATACATATTATATTAATATATAATTATATTTTTAAATATGTGGCAGGTCCTACATTTGTTGTGAGAAGGTTGACACATTACTCGGGACAGTGTAAAAATGCATAAAATTATTTATAATAATTTATTTTGTACAAAACATACTTCCTTTTATTTATATAAAATACAGCTTGCTGCTGCTTATTCTAATTTGTACAGTCTCATTTATTTTCCAATTTGGTAAAGGGCAGTTTCCCATCCTGTAAAAATTCCTTATTAACAAGTTTGTCAGAATAAAATCCCTTTCATTAACTAAACAACTTCCATTTCGAACCCAATAAAATAAAATAAAATCTAGAAATTATTAAAATTTACCATATGAAATCTAGAGAGGCTGTGTTGGGGCACTAGAAGGACTCAATTCTTATAGAAACAGATTTTAATTTAGTTTTATACAATACAAATTAATCTTCATTACTTAAGCAATTGTGTGAATATATATTTTATGTGCTAACATTATCAGCTTAATTAATTCTTCTTTTTGCTATGTATTGGAATAAAATAATGTTTTCGGTTTCAACAAACTAAACTTTTTCTTCTAAGCATTTCAATCTTAATATTTTCCATAGTAGATTAACCATAAAAGTAAAATATAACATAATACAAAATATACATTGAATTTATTTTAATTAAAACTGTTATTAATTAAATTTAAACAATGTGAACAGAATGGTTTCCCCACCTTAGCTTAGCTTATGCTCATCTAGCTCATTAGTGCTGCAATGTTTTGTTTTGAGTAGTTGGTCTTCTGCCTAGCATCAAAATAGCGCATGGTTAATGTTATTAAGCTTTTTAACACAACAGCCTTAAAATTTTCGTTTGTCTCACTGTTACTGTTGTATGTAACACTAACACAATTATATTTGTGCTATCAATTTATTAATAAACTTAATATAACTTTATATTTATATGCCTATCGAAACAAATTCACATAAGAAATTATAAGGCCTGAATATTTTATAATTAGTTTAAATGAAATGTTCCTATCAGGACTGCAAAAGTGTATTCTGTAGCTTCTAAACAATAAGACTGCGTACATAACTGTCACATCCCAGCTACATGCAAGAAATGCATGACTCACAGCTCAGCGCTAAGAGCAACTGCAGCTAAAATTATTCACACAACAGTGCAGCTGTTAAGTACTGGTTATGATTCGAAATACTGTTGAAGAGAATATTTTTCTGTAGGAATCATATGTTAGATGTGGTTAAGCTTTATGTTGTCGCGGAATATTTCGTAGTAAATTTCCCGGGATGACAATTCCAACCACAAAAGGCATCCATAAACTTGTTAATAAGGTCAGGTGACTGAGACGCCTTGCACAAGAGACCGGCAACTCGAAATCATTAGCAGGAAAAGCGAAAAAATGGCGAATTTGGTGTGTGGCCGTACAGGGACATCATTTACAGCACCGAAAAGTTAATTTACTGTTCTTATAGAAAAATACTTGGCTCGTATCGGAAAAGTCTTTTAGCGCTTGGCGGTGAGTCATGCAGTTCCTACCGGGAGCCTGGAAGTGACAGTTGCGTGTAACTATGTCAACGAAACGCACTGTATCGAATTATATCACAGGATAGTTGGTGTTCTGTAATGAAATAACCACACGCCAATTATGTAACACCAACTTACGCAGGTATATAGTTAGACCTTTTTACAGTCCATGGAGTACAGAACGTTTTCCATAGAGAATAAGGATTTTTCCTCAAATTCAAGATACCGTGGATCTAAGCACACTGATTTCACATTTCTTATATTTCCTTAGCTCCTCTACGCGTATATTAAACCTCTTCGTCCAGCTATTCGACATATTGTGTGCACCTTATTTTACAAAATCCGAAGTGAGATCGAATTAAAATTACATGTATCGATTTCTAAAATTATCAAGGGGATACTTCAGTTTGCAGGTTCCTGATTCTTGTACCGCACTATTTGAAGGGTTAAAAGATTAATGGTTAAGATATAAGTCCTACAACTGTTACAGAACTTCAATTTTAATATTCTGAGCAAAATAGCACTAATAAGGAATCAGTCTATTACTTATTATAAATATTTTAAATAATTTTAAATCCGGTGATATTATGATATTTTGGTTGTCATATATCCAATATGATGTCGTCAAGGTGTAGACTTGTAGCAAAATTAATTTATTCTTTTGAACATCATGAAACGTAAGATTTTAGACCTGGGAGCAACAGTGGGTTAACCCAAATTTTATTAAGAAAAGAGAGAACGTAAGATAAAGTTAAACATGGCGGCTATAATTCCAATTTATAAGATCTTCAAAGAAAACAGATTTGAAAAGAAGAAACTTCGTGTGGCTTACCCCGTCTGTACGTGAATACAGAGGACGGCAAATATTTTCTTCATGAATCAAGATTTTCCAAAGTTAGGAGTCAGCCCACTGGTGCTTCCCGGTCTTCGATTTTAAAAATGGCTTCCGACAACTACCAAGGTGTCACAACCATCATCACGTGCACTACAACCCAGATCGGGTCTTGGCTTCCGCACCAAGGTGTCACAACCAATAATAATAATAATACTAATGCCAAAAACCGTCAAACATATTTGAATCACCCTTGCCCTGTTCCAATATAAATGTAAATTTAGTTACGTTTATATATATATATATATATATAATCATGTGCTTTAACATTCAGTAATACTATATTTTGTAGATGTGGGTTTCATACGACTTTTTGAATAAACAGCGATTACGTTCGTAAACAGCATGAACATTTTGATCTTTGTAATGGAGAGCAGTTGTTTTCTTTGAAGTACGAACTGAAATTTTAAATATTGTTTAAATGAACTTAGTGATTCAAATTGTTACAGAGACAATTATCCAAACTACTGTAACAAACTAACAAATATGATACATTTATTTTCCGGAGTGTTCTACACAGATTGTGGGAATGGCAGGGGTGTGTTTCAGGGTTGTTATATATTGTGATCTAAACCGACCGATGAGAGAAACGATTCTCTTGATATTAACGACGTTCCATTTTCTCCAGTCACTCAATAGCTCACTTCTTGTTACAGTAGCCGCCACCAAATTAATTTTTAAACCAAATCATGGGAGTAACAATTACGTAAGCTTTTTAGAAAAGGGGAAACCCCAAGGAGAGAGCTTTTAAGAACTCAGTATGAAACGATTGAGTAAAAGCAAGGAATTAGTGTCCCAGCTAAATAAATACCAATTGACAGGGTTAAAGACAAGTCCTTCATCACAGAGTTTGTCATAACCTACACGGACATGAAACTTTCCACATTTGCGACTTACAGCAAACGTAGAAGTTTACATGTTCAAAATCTATACTAAATATTTGTCCCATATTCTGGAACAGATATGTAAATAGTACGATTTTAAAATAAAATTTAAGTTTCTCAAATTTGGCTTCCCGGTGCAAATGCCAAAAAATATTTTTTGTTAATTATCAGAGAATGTAACTCAAGAATTGTACACTGAAAAGACTGATGGGAAGAGAACATTCGGTAGATCTTCATGTAGATGGGACGATAATATCAAAATTAATTTTAGAGAAATAGGCTGGGATGTGTGGACTGGATTCATCTGGCTCATGATATGGACACGTGGCGGGCACTGATGAATACAGCAATGCATATAGGGTTGCATAAAAGACGGGAAAGTTCTTGACTTGCTGAGCGACTATACGTTTCTCATCAAAGACCTTGATTTATGAAGTTAGTGACCACCACGAAGTGTAATTTGAGGATTATAATCACACATTTGTTTTTACTTGATTGTCTGAAGCTATTTGTCCGGGAGTCACGGCCCTTCACATCCCTCGATAAGAAGCCCTTCGACTTTAAAGAATAAAAAATGATAACATCTCCATTTTCACAATAAATCGTCATAATGACCACGAACATACAAAACCGTCTAGAGCTTTATTATAAAACATTAGCCTAAGTAGGTTATTATAATGTT